AGGGTGAGTCAGACTAATAGTCTAGCCACTACAGATGGCCAATGTTAAGGAGAATAACCTCTGACCTACTTTCGCTGCCTATTGTACAGTCACGCTTAAGCAGCTAAGTCTGGTATATATTTTGGGGAGACAACTTAAGAGAATTCCTTCTGTTCCCCACAGCATGGTCTTTACATGGACAGGAGCCCTGGTAGCATAGAGGGTTCTGTGGGCAATGCTATTGGCAAGGTCAGGTAGTTCAACACCACCAGCCACTCCAAGGGAGAAAGTCTAACTCCTGCAGAGAGTTCCAATCTCAGAAACCCACAGGGGCAGTTCTGCCCTGCCCTGTAGAGTCGATGTGCATTGGAATTGACTCAATGGCAGTAAGTTGGTTCCTTTTGTTTGTTTGTTTGTTTGTTTGTTTGTTTGTTTGTGAGAACAGCAAGAGGAAGATGTTGGAGGATTGTTTGCAAGCAGTACAATTAATTTTTCATTCACATTTTTGTTTTTATGATGCGCTTGACACTGGACATCATTTCATTTTTCAAACTATCCTATTATGGTATTATTACTCCAATTTTAAAGACCGGATTCTGGGATGTGTTTTAGGGTACAAAAGAGACCCAAACCTCGACTCTAACGTCAGGGGCACATTTATTAAGACTTAAACAAAAACAAGACAAAGATGCATCCCTCAGAAGACGGGGAGCATTGGCAGGAGGTCCTCATGGTGTCTAAGGGTTTGCTGAGAAACAGCAAAGGAAACTGTTGGCAGATTCAATGCATCACACTTACAGGTAGGACTACAGGAGCGGACCAGTGAGGGAAACTCAAAACGGGGCGGAGAGTGATGCGGACAAACTCCACACTAAACGCTAAGGAGTCTGGGAGGCCGGGGCTGCCGTGGAGGGGAGTTTGTTAGTTGGAATGTGTTCCAGTCTCATTCTCCTAAGTAAAAGTCCCTCCCCCAATGGCCCTCCCCCATGATAATGCCAAATTGAATGTGCTGTTGGGAAACACAGGGTCCTTACTATACTCTTACAGGGCAGCTGCTTGAAGGTATCTGCCTTCAAAGGCAATCAGACCATAGAACCCTAAGCTAGGCCCCTCCTCTCTGATAAGGATCATAGCTGGATCCTCTGGAGAAGAGCTCCCGACATCCAAGGTCAGAGAAGCCAACTCAGAGAAGGCCAACGTTAGGGGGATGGCTAGGTGAGGCGCCCGCCCCTGCTGCTCCCAATCCCCCCACCATGTGACTGGTACACTGACTTGTGCGGAGGGCGGGGCCCGGCGGAGAGAGGTGGGAGGGGTGGGGGCCGCCCCTCTATAAATAGCGGGCTGCAGGAGCCTTGGTGTCATTGGGTCCCTGCCTCCCAACAGGCTCTTGTGGAATCCGTCTCCGTCTCCGCAGCCTCGTTTTCCCTGCGCTCCAGGTTCACGCACCACCATGAACGGGCAGCCCCCCGGCTTCCGCGAGGAGGACACCTTCCTACACACTTCAGAGTCCGTGGGGGAAGGCCACCCAGGTGAGACGCGGGTCCGCACTCAGGGCAAGGGCAGCAGTCGGCCAGGGCCGGCCGGCCTCGCTGGGCGCCCTCCCGGGCCGGCTGTGGGGCAGTGTTGGGTCGTTTCTCTGCTTTAAAAAATTGACTGGAAGGGCGGGCCTCTGCGCTAACTCTCAGGTCATGGCCGAGCCACTGACATTGTTGTAATACACATTCTTTTTAAGAAAATCCTTTTATTAGGGGCTCATACCACTCTTATCACAATCCATACATGCATCCATTGTGTAAAGCGCATTTGTACATTCATTGCCTTCATCATTCTCAAAACACTTGGTCTCCACTTAAGCCCCTGGCAACAGCTCCTCCTTTCTCTCCCTCCCTCCCTGCTCACCTCTCCCTTATGCACCCTTGATAATTTATAAATTATTTTGTCATCTTGCACTGTTCGAGGTCTCACTTAACCCACTTTTCTGTTGTCCATCCCCAGGGATGAGGTTATATGTAATCGGTAGCCCCTTACCACCCCACCCTCCACCCACCCTCCCAGTATTGGCACTCTCACCATTGGTCCTGAAGGGATCATCTGTCCTGGATTCCCTGTGTTTCTAGTTCCTATCTGTACCAGTGTACATCCTGTAGTCTAGCTGGATTTGTAAAGTAGAACTGGGATCATGATAGTGGGTGGGGGAGGAAGTATTTAGGAACTACAGGAAAGTTGTATGTTTCATCATTGCCACACTGCATCCTGACTGGCTGACCTCCTCCTGAGACCCTCCGGCAACAGGATGTCCAATTGCCTACAGATGGGCTGTGGGCCTCTACCCCGCCCTCCCCCTCATTCACAAAGTTTTTGTTCTGATGATACCTGATCCCTTCCACACCTTGTGATCACACAGGCTGGTGTGCTTCTTCCATGTGGGCTTTGTTGCTTCTCAGCTAGATGGCTGCTTGTTTACCTTCAAGCCTTCTAAGACCTGAGATGCTATATCTTTTGATTGACAGGCACCATCAGCTTTCTTCACCTCATTTGCTTATGCACCCTCTTTGTTTTCAGCGATTGTGTTGGGAAGGTGAGAATCATAGAATGCCAGTTCAATAGAACCAAGTATTCTTGCACCGAGGGAGTACTTGAGTAGAGGGCCAATGTCCATATGCTACCTTAATATTAAACCTATAAATATATCTACGTAGATCTATTTCCACATCCTCATATATAAATATTTACATATGTACATGCCTTTATTTAGATCTCTATATATGCCCTTTGCCTCCTAGCTCTTTCCTCTATTTCATTTGACTTTCCTCTTGTCCCACTGTCATGCTCAGCCTTCATTTGGGTTACAGTAATTCCTCTCGGTTACATTACCCTTGGCCATGCCCTACCAGGCCTCCGACACCCTCCTCACCACCGATTTGGATCACTTGTTTTCCCTTGTCCCTGGGTTGTTACCACCATTACCTTTCCCCCCACCTCCCGCTCACCCAAGCCCCCTTGGAACTGTTGGTCGCATTGTTTTCTCCTCCAGATTGCTCATCCAGCCTATCTTAAGACAGACCTGCAGAGATAATAACATGCACAAAAACAAGACAGAGCAAAAGCAAGCAACAAAAATAACAAAAACAACAAAAAGCCAATGACAAAAAAATGCAACAAAAAAGTAAAGCTTGTAGGTAGCTCAAGGACTGTCTGTTGGCCTTTAGGCGTGTTTTCTGGTCGAGTCGGGTGGGGCGCCAAGCCCTGGCCCCAAAGTCTATTTTTGGTATTCCCTGGGGACTTGCTCTGTTCCACGACTTTAGTGTTTTGCCTCGGTGTGGTGGGATCAGATTGGGCAGAATTACCACACTTTTCCCAGTGTTGTCCCCTGTAGGGCTATGGGTCAGTGAGGGATGTCATGTCTCAGTGGGGCCGGCCATATGGTCCTCTCTGGACTGGCTGCTCTAAGCAGAAATATCATCCTCAGGGCTTGGTGGGCCAGGACGTGCTCCACTCTCTTCCCTTCATTTGCTCCCATGTGCTCTGATCAGATATGTCCCTCTCACTGAGCTGCCGATTCAGTACTGTCCTCTGAAATAAATCCTTCTGGGGGGATGTAATACACATTCTGATGGAATTTTGATAAGTATGGTATTGGAACATTCAGGAAGAAGGAATTTGGGGGTAATTTTCCTTATCCCTCCTAATTTTTAGTAAACAGCTAAGGAGTTGGGGTTGAGTTCAACAAGACTCAAAAAACGTTAAGGTTGGGAGAATTTTCCAGTCTCTGAAGTGTTTCTTTCTGTACTACTTGAACAAAGACAGCTTTTTTCTTGTTTTATAAAATGTTATTGCTTGTGATTAATTGGCCTTAATTCTCATGTTACCCTGAGTGCTATGTTTTAAGACCATTGGGATGGCCTGGGAATTAATAGTGTTCTGAATCTTAACAAGTTGATTAGCGGATGAGCAAAAGAACAGTCAACTTTATGATTGGTTGTATTTATAATGCAAACTAAAATTTATTCTCCAGGGTAATGTTACTTGGTTTTATTATTACCTTGGTTGGGTGGGAACCTTGGTCTCTACGAATGTCAGCAATGCCAAGCCTTTCCCACCATGGACCTGATTTAAGTTCCCAACTTCAGGTTTCAAACTATGAATTTTGGGGATTACAAAAATTAGAAAACACCACATCCACCAAGTCAATTGTGACCTTGTGATCCTCTGACGTGTATTTGGCTGCTAACTACAAGGTCAGCAGTTTGAAACCCAGTTCTGTAAGAAAAAGAAGCTTCCTATACCAATAAGGAGTTAACAGTTGGGGGTCTGGGAGGGAGGGGGGGAAATGAGTTTGTACAAAGCAAATGTTTTGAGAATGATGGCGACAAATGTACAAATGTGCCTGACACAATGGATGTATCTATTGATTGTGATAAGAGTTGTAGGAGCCCCCAGTTAAAAAAAAAAGTTGGGTGCCGGGTGGCTGTGGCGTGCTGCGTCTCGCTGCGCGGCTGTGGCGCGGGACCCTCTCCCGCAGAACGAGACCCACTGCAGGGACGACGCCCCAGCTTCCCCCGCTGGCGATGCGGCGGCCTTCCTCGGGCTCGCCGCCGGGCCTGGTCCCGGGCTCCGCGTGCGGCTGGCACGGGCAGGAGGAGGAGCGGGCCGAGGGCGGAGCGGACGAGGGGCGTCCCGAGTCGGGCGCTGCAGATCACACTAGGGCCAAGTTTGACCTCGATATGCTGGTTTCACTTCTGAGGCAAGAAAACGCCAGAGGCATTTGTGTCATCAGCGTTCCTCCCAAGATGAAATATACAGATTATTTTGTGATTGGGAGGGGCACCTCGACCCGACATTTGCACGCCATGCCCACTACCTTGTGAAAATGCATAAGTTCTCGAAGTGTCAAAAGGACCCTTACGTTAAGATAGAGGGGAAGGACACCGAGGACTGGCTCTGCATGGACTTCGGCAGCACGGTGCTCCACTTGATGCTTACAGAAACCAGAGAAACCTACGAATTAGAGAAGCTATGGACCCTACGCTCTTATGATGACCAGTTAGCTCAGATCGCACCTGAGACGTTACCTGAAGACTTCATTCTTGGATTAGAAGACGATGCTTCATCCCTGACTCCAGTGGAGTTCAAATGTGAATAAAATGATATGAACTGTTAAAAAAAAAAAAAAAGTTAATAGTCTCGTGGCACTTCTGAGTCCAGAATTACTATGCAAATGAGTAAGAGCAACGCCCTTGCTCCCTCCTCTGAACTGTCCTCCCATATTGGGTTAGGATGTATTAGAAATGCAAGATGTTGTGGTTTAGCAGAACTGACGGGCTAGTGCAACTCAGTGAAGGTCTTGCTGTGACTCTCCAGAGATTTTTTGGGAAATAATGGCAACATATATACAAATATGCTTGGTACAATTGATGTATGGAATGTTATGAGCTCTAAGAGCCCCCAGTAAGATGATTTTTTTTAAAAAAACAATGAATAACAGTACATTGAAGTATTGAACTTGTAGTCTTACTTTTTCAGATAAGATTTGTGACCAGATCAGTGATGCTGTCCTTGACGCCCACCTTCAGCAGGACCCTGAGGCCAAAGTGGCTTGTGGTAAGTTCAGACCATGTGCTTTTTTACTGAGGGAAAGCTAACAGTTATTTTGTATATAGAAGTAAAAGTTCTGATCTTTTATTAGAAACTGTTACTAAAGCCCAAATGATTCGTCTTGGTGGGAAAATTACATCCAGAGCTGCCGTTGACTACCAGAAAGTAGTTCGTGAAACCATTAGGCACATTGGCTATGATGATCCTTCCAAAGGTGAGTTACTTTCTCTAAAGCTTCCATTTTGCTTTAGTTCAGTAGTTCTAGAATGTTCTTGCTAGTCATTAGCTTGAGCCCCTTAGTATCAAGTGTTGGTGGCGGTAATTGAAGTCTTTAGCGGCAGTTGGAATTCTAAAAAGTTGTTGTGGAAAGGGGGTACTGGTATAACTTTGGTTTTTGAAACAAAGCCTTTCTCTGCTTAAAGGGTTTGACTACAAGACTTGTAATGTTCTGGTGGCTTTGGAGCAACAGTCCCCAGATATAGCTCAAGGGGTTCACCTTGACCGGAATGAGGAGGATATAGGTGCGGGAGACCAGGTATTTGATGTTAGCTTGTATTTGCAGTTCTTGTGACAGTAAAATTCTGAAGCTCCTGTTGACTGACCAACGACTTCCCTTTTTAGGGCACGGTGTTTGGCTATGCCACTGATGAGACTGAGGAATGTATGCCTTTAGCCATTGTCTTAGCACACAAGCTCAATGCCAAGCTTGCTGAACTACGTCGCAATGGCACCTTACCTTGGTTACGCCCAGATTCTAAAACTCAGGTAAGTAGTGCTTGGAGTTCCCTGTGGGATTAGCAAGTTCTGTGAAGGCTCATTTGTTAGACTGGCACAGAAGATCAAGTCTTTCATTGAATTATAGCTGATTACAAATGCACTTTACACAATTGATGTGTGTATGGATTGGGATAACAGTTGTATGAGCCCCTAATAAAATGTTAAAAAAAAAAAAAAAAGAATTACAGCTGATTACTACTGGAGGGTGGGGTGGGCTTGGATTGCTCCTTACTCTCCTTAGGCTGTGTTTGGGGAAGGAACTGAGCACAAAGCTTTTGTCTAGTGTACAACTCATCTGAGGTGTGTGTTCTTCCAGGTGACTGTGCAGTACATGCAGGATCGAGGTGCTGTGCTGCCCATCAGAGTCCACACAATTGTTATATCAGTTCAGCATGATGAAGATGTTTGTCTGGATGAGATGAGGGATGCCCTGAAGGAGAAAGTCATTAAAGCCGTTGTTCCTGCAAAGTATCTTGATGAGGACACAATCTACCACCTACAGCCTAGTGGCAGATTTGTTATTGGGGGGCCTCAGGTAAGGCCTCAGAATGGCACTGTTCTTTCAGAGCTCTGAGAGAGTGACTTTCAGAGTTGGCTGTCACCACTTAGTTCCCCAGTCTTCTGAATCTCACTGTGATTCCTGAGGCCGACTTGCTCAGTGACATACAATGAACATTTAGCAACTTGATCTAGAAACATTGGATGCCAATGATACCTAACGTGACTTAAGCCTGCATTTTCAGGGTGATGCTGGTTTGACTGGCCGGAAGATCATTGTGGACACTTACGGAGGCTGGGGAGCTCACGGAGGAGGCGCCTTTTCAGGAAAGGATTGTACCAAGGTGGACCGCTCAGCTGCTTATGCTGCCCGTTGGGTGGCAAAGTCCCTCGTCAAAGGAGGCCTGTGCCGAAGGGTTCTCGTGGAGGTGTGTATTCTGCTCTGTCATCAGAGAAATTCATGTCATGTAAGCACAGCAGCGGAGGGGGGTAATACACCGTATTACAGAAGTGTGTGGGTCTTTGGATCACTGACTTGTGATATCTGAATTCCTCTAGGTCTCTTATGCTATTGGAGTTGCTCACCCATTATCGATTTCCATTTCTCATTACGGCACCTCTCAGAAGAGTGAGCGAGAGCTAGTAGATATAGTGAAGAAGAATTTTGACCTCCGCCCTGGAGTCATTGTCAGGTAAAGGTGGTAAAGTCTGTTGCTAGTGAAAAATCTCATCTAGGAGGGAAATGTGCTTTTTCATTGGGGGAAAACGTGTTTTTAAACTTCTAAGAGCATAAGGGGATATCTTTAAATCATCTTTATTGAACCCTTAAGCTTATTTTAAAAAAATCTAAAATCCTGTTCCGTGGCTTAAGTTTACCCAGCAATCCCTATGTGTGATAGTTGGCTTTTAACTACTTCAGGATGTTTCCTTAGGGAAAATGTGCAGGCTAAATGATGTGGTCTAGGCTATTGAAGAACATTTTGGGTGGGACAATGGGAGACTGGAACATATATCATGGTCTCAGATGAGCTTTTGGCATTTGGAATTCTCAGGACACTGACAAGTTTCGTATTTGTTGAACAAGTGATGGAAAAACTACTATAGTTACTGATAAAAGACTGTACATGGAGTTTGGCCACCAGGGAAGTAACACACTTTTGTCCCGACTGTTTCCTACCTTAACGCAGAGAACTGACCCCACTTACCAGAGCTCTTGAACACGGGTCTTGCTGATTGTTGTGCTTTCTTTCAAATGAATGCTACATATTAAGTTACGGACTTGTATGTTCCAGGGATCTGGATCTGAAGAAGCCAATTTATCAGAGGACTGCAGTCTATGGCCACTTTGGCAGGGAAGGCCTCCCCTGGGAAGTGCCCAAAAAGCTTAAATATTAAAAAGTGTTAGCCATTTCCTCCCAGACTTGCTGGCGTGGGCTACAGAGAAGCCTGCAAGCTCTGAGGGAAAGACCGCCCCCCCTTCCTATGCTTTTCCTGTCCTCCGTCAGCCCCTCGTCACCTGCTGCCCCTCTGTGATCCGTGATGTGAATTGTCCTCTGGTGGGGCCTGGCTGTGATTTGGCTTGCTCTGTCCCTGGTGTGTGTTCACCATGAAAATGCGTTTAGTGAGCACAGGTGATCCTTGTCAATGCAATTAGGATGTTAGAAGGTTGAGTGGCAGGGAGGAGGAAATCCCTTCATAATCTCCTCATTGCTTATTTATTGTAATGGGGGTATGGCTTAAGTACAGAGAAGCCCTCACCTCAGATGGGAGATTCTTAAAAGATTATTCCCCCCTCGACACCAGAATTCCAATGTGCCTTGATGTTTTGTAAAACTGGAAGTATAATGTACCTTTCACCTAGGATAATTCTTTGACTCTGATCTGTGGCTCAAGAGAGAACCCTTCTTGTACCCAACTGTATATGCTAATTACAACTTCTTAAGTCTGAAGATCTTGTCTTCTCATAAGTTAGTTTGCCCTTGGTTGTTCCCATTGCCAAGGCTTTTCCTTTAATAGGTTCTTTCCCAGTGATGCTTGTGCACCACAAAATCCCCATGACCACCCAGAACACACCTAGGTGAGTGAGGGGGAGGGCTGGGTGCAGACCTCTGGGCGCAGTATAGTACCTAATAAACACACCAGTAGTAGTAAAATGGCGAGCAGGGGGTGAGGGGGAGTGGGGTGCCACCCCACTCGCTACTAGAACTCACTGGTTCAGTAATACTACTTCTGGGTTCAATAATGCACATCGTACGGTTGAGATATATAAGTATTAAAGTCATCGAGAACATGAGAGATATTACAATACTGCAGTCAGACACAATACATGATAGCATTGCTCACCTCAGCCCAGCTTGGTGGTCCACGTGGAGAGAGGGAAGGGA